TTAAAAATCTGTATAATATTAAGATAGACTATATATATGTCTATTAGATATTATATTGCTATCCCCTCTAATTGTTGAGATATTTGAATTCTAAAAAGTGCTATTTTCTATACTCTCCAGAGGCCGCTTACCAGTTCCGCTAGTTAACGTAACTGGCAAGTACCATGCGCAGCTCTATAGTCTATATAAATCAGCTACTTTTTACTACTTGAATATCTCAACAACTATAGACTATAGTAAGATAAAATTTGGATATAGTATATAATAGTACTTAGTCCTTAATGTATAAAGTAGAGAGTATTAAATAAGTTATATATTTTTCAATAATATATATTACAGCGGTATTTTTGATATTCTTAATTTATACTATAAAGTTGAAAAGAAAAAATTTAGAAAAAAAACTAGTATTCTTATTTATTCTATACTATATTATATACTCAATATTATAACTTTACAATCTGTGGTTGCTGAGATATTCAAGTGGTAAAAATAGCTGATTTGCATAGATTACAGAGCTGCGCAGGGTGCTTGCCAGTTACGTTAGCTGCTAGATACACCTGATTATTAAGGTTGCCCCATGCACAGGTTTTACAAACCCATGCTGTACCCCATAAATTTAGCCAAGCTCAGAGAAGAACGTCGACACATCCAGAACCAACTAAATACCAAACACTTTTCGAAATGGCTCGTCACAGCAAGGCGAAAGCGCGAATCAAGAGGCAGAAGCCGACGATGAAGTCCAGTATAGGTATTGCTGCTCCAGGAATGATTAGCGTTAGGTCGCTTATTAGCTGACTTCTCGAAGACCACCAACCAGGGCACCTGACGATGCAGCAAGAAGCAAGGAACACAGAGGGTCGGAATCTGTGGCGCACTGGCTCCAATCTACGCCATCAAGGAGTCCGTTTTGTGAGCGCAGGCAACACCCAGCGAGATGAAAATAACGAGAGAGAGGCTCGTGAAGGAGGCGGTCCCTGGACAGAAGAAAGCAACAAGCAACCGCCCACAAGAGGGGCCGAGCTAAAGGAGGATGCACAGGACTTGAAAAACGAACCAGCAATGCCCAATGCGCTATTCTTTATTGACTCATCAGGCGAAACTGGTGCACACACTGGGTTTGCAGACCCCGTCACCGCATTATCATTATCTGAGTGTGACAACTCTAGTGAAGATGAAATAGTGTTCTATGGGCGGCGTAGACTCGAAGAAAGACCTCGTATCATCGTTGAAGGCCACGCAGTGAAGGCTTCCAAAACAAGTTACCACTCGCCAAAAGAACTCGAATCGCCACCCGACGCAAGGCTACATGCACAGGAGTCCAGGGTGTGTCCGGTATCCGATGGCATATCAACATATGAGCTACCACAGAGAAACCCACCAACAGCGGAAAATATCGGGCAGACGAAGACTGTTATTCCATATGGGGAGAAAGTTGCTCAGGAGACATCGGAAGACGAAGATGATGACATACTAGCTGACTATATAGCAAACATGGCCGAAAACTACTACGGAGATCTACATAGCTCACTAGCTGGTGCTACAACGCATGAGCCCGAGCATGGGATAGAGATGCTACCTCAGAACTTCGCGGCCCATGCGGCCATTTGTGATTCGATTCGTCATTCCGGCAAGGGAAAATATCCACGTAGGGACATATTGTCGGAACGTAAGCGCAAAGTGATTCTGCCGACAGAATTTATACTGAAATTAGCAGATGGCGAGAGTAATGATGCAATATCATACCCGCTTGACGATGCCGCCTCAGCTAGCAATCAGGATCTACACAGCTCGCAAGCCAGCGACTCTGACGAAGGGAATACTCTTGATACTGACCTAGACATCGAGGGACTTAAGGCCCAAGGGCACCCCGCCCTTTCCCAACGGAACCACAAAGATTCACAATGTGATATATTTGCCTCGGCCACTGCCTTCGCTGACGCCTTGGAAATTGACCCTTACTACGGTTTGGATATCATGGATTTCAGCAGGCCAAGTCTTCGGAGAAAGAAAAGAGGAAAGCATCGCAATCCAGATCTGGCCTTATCAGACAGTGAATTGGAGCTGGAACTAGAGAACGCCTGGCGGAATGACCGAGAGAAGAAGAAGGCCCGAAAACAGAAAAGAGAGGAACTTCGCTCCCAAGGCCTTCTAGGTCGAGGGGCAAATGACCCAGATCTGAGAAGCAAATATACAAATGGCATGGGTTTTAGTGACTTGAAGATGGAGATACGCGTTTTCCTACTGTCGTCAAGAACCAGGTATGTTTTGTTGCTCCATGAACTCAGCGATAAGTGCTTATTGATTAACCTGCATTTCTAGTTTGGCTCTTCCGCCTATGACCAAGCACCGTAGGAAACTGATTCATGATCTAGCAAATGCGCTGTCCTTAAATTCACAGTCACGAGGCAAGGGGTCCTCTAGATTTCCTATCCTGCACAAGAATTCCCGGACTCCGAGGCACACGCAAAAGACCATTTCCTCTATCGACCAAATATTCTCAAAGGGAAGATTTAACCACGCCGCAACCAAACCCTGGGATCGAAAGATTGCGAAGTCTGCTAAACCTCCTCGTGGTCGTCCTGACAGTTCTGTTTCATACATGGATGGTGATATCGTCGGCGCATCTGCCCCCGAAATTGGGGCAGGAAACAAGGGAAGAGAAATACTGGAAAGAATGGGTTGGAGCACGGGAACAGCTCTTGGTGCCACTAACAATAAGGGCATCTTGCTACCAGTCGCGCATGTTGTGAAAAATTCCAAGGCTGGCCTAGGGTAGGCTTACCTCGTCGAGTAATAAGTATGGTCTCACACATCAAAGAATATCCGTGCCACTTCTAGCAATATATGCTATACTAACTGTATGTCATGATTTCCAATAAAACAAAAATAAGACATGCCTGGATTTTGGACGATATAATGATGCCTCCAGTGTACCTGATCCCGACCATAGAAGCCTGTAATGGTAGTGAAACTCTGGCCCGGATAAGGAAAGACAACAAGCAAGCGTCTTTACTCTGTTTATTGCCTCCTTTTTTGCGTATCGCTCATGGGTAAGGGTTGAGCGTGATTAGACTCGTGGATATGAATAAACAGTTGTGACCTTGAGGGAAAAATAGCGTAGCAAGTGGCATATTTAATATTCTGGAGCTGGCTCATTGACGCTGGGCTTTTTTCGCACATTTTTGTTTAGCCTTTCCCACCTTTGGTGTAATTGTTTGCGAGTCCTCTATTTCAGTCGTTGAGAACTGTTGGGACAGGCTGTCTAGTGATTCCATCTCTCCTGTTTGTTGGGATAACGTGGTTTGGGAACCTAATCGCTGTTCAACACACTTCCTAGGTACATAATCAGCCTCGCTGAGATCTGGCATAGAGTCCCCATGGCAATCTGTGTGCGTCAAAGAACCTTCATCGGGTTTAATTTCAACACTAGTATCAGAGGTATATTTGTCTGTTCTGATACTATTTCTTGTCTCGCTATCGGGTGTTTGTTGCACTGGTGACACCATAGTGTGCACCAGATCATCCTGTGGGTTGTTACGCGTAGAATCATCCCACTGGGGCTCTTCGGGGTTAGAAACATTTCCTTTAAGGTCCAGCTCTTCATTCTGTGCTCTCATCTCCCGGCGTAGCTGTTTCACAGCTTTTATATGTTTTTTGCTGCGTTCGTGGGCCTCGAACTGATTATGACTTTTGAAGGTTTTATGGCACGCAACGCACTCAAAGTACTCAACTTCGTCCTCACTTGTATCGCTAGATTCCTCACCCAAACTTTCTGCCTTCGCCCAATCTTGCATCACATGATCACGAAGTTTCGCCTGGTTTGCTGCTCGTGATTTGGCTGCTTGTGCAGCTGCTGATTGACGAAGGAATTCCTGCCGTTGTGATTCATTCTGTGCGTTAGACTTGTACCGGGGATCGCGCTTCTTCACAAAAGCTACAAGCGACCTGACAGCTTCATTGAATTCCCGAATAGCATCTTCCCTAAGACGCTTGTTTTCCTTCTCCATCAGCCTGCGAACGCGACGATCTGGTGCCTCGGAGTAACGGTAGACATCTTTCCAGGCGAATGATTTTTTTGTAGAAAAACTGCCCCAGGCAGCATAGAATGGACGTACGACCTCTTCAGGGTCGGCGTCGCAGTTCCCAAATGTAGGATACTGGATGCACGTGATATTCTCCCAGCGACAGGCCATTGTCTCCTCTAGGGCAAGTCGTGCAAATGTCTCACGCAAGGCACCGTAAAATCCGGTTGGCGCGTCTGTAAAGTCCATCCGAGGACTGAATTTTGAAAACAATTTCAGAACGTCATCGGAGGTTGTCATCCGCGTATCGTACGAATAATCGGCCCCTTCTGGTTTGCCATCGCTTCCCAGGAAGACATCGCGGTGCGAGTCATACCACGCACGCTCCTGGGCGTCCGAGAGAACTTCGTACGCAGATTGAATTTCGGCGAACAGCCTGGTAGCAGCCTCCACGTTGCCATAATTTCTATCCGGGTGCAGTTCTAGAGCCCTTCTTCTGTAGGCCTTTTTTATCCTAGCGTATCAAATCGATTAAGCATCTTCCTAGTAGATACTTTCTTATATGCTTAAGACTTACTCGTCGCCAGATGCATTTCGTTCAACCTGCAGCAGCTCGTAATAATCTACCTTCTTCTCCTCTGGCTGGGTTAGGGTCGAGCCTGGTCCCTCGTGGCTGTTCGAGGAGTGCGTCTGTCCCATGGATGATTGACCACAGCAAGATATGGTGTTTGATTCGAAGTGAAGGGCATGTAACAGTGGCGGGTTGCGCGGATTGCGGCCTTGTCTAGATTTATCATGTGTGGTGTACAGAAATTGGCGAGGTGGCGGCTATATTTATATAAGGTATACATGTGTGTGTGTGTGTGTGCGCGCGTGTATGTCTCATGAACCATCCCCTATATAGAGTTTGTAGCTATGCTTGATACTGAACACTGGACAATCTCTAGACAGGTGAAAATTGCATACATGTGAGTGTGAAAGTACAAACGTGAGCCACATAATTAAGATTGAATAATGCCTCCCTGTTCAGCCAAGGCCAATGATAGCCCTCCCAGCGGAATGTAATCTTAATGCTACACATAACCCACCTTTCCCCACCCCGAGGGGTAAAGCTTACATCGATTCAATTTCCGATTGAAACATTCTAGCGGAATGGTTTTATCTCTCGACAGTGTTCCTGAAGAGATACTCCACACTATCCTATGCTACAGCCACCCCTGTTCTGCGGCTGCTTTGCAGCAGACAGCCCATCGATTCGAACGTGCTACCAGCGAGCCTCTATTGTGGCGGTTTTACTGCCAAGTGTATTTCCAGTACTGGGACAGCACACATGATATACTACAAAAATTGTCGGCTCCCACCCATGCGGTAGACTGGAAGGCCTTATATGTATCTAGGCATCTGACGGACTGCACTGCTAGTCATCTGCTGGACAGTATCCTTGCGGGACAAACGGGGAGAATCGAAAAGTTCCATGCACTTATCGACCTTGGGTATGATGTTAAAGATACACTTATAAGGAACATCTCATCAGAATTAGAGACAGATGACCATCTAGCAAGAAGGTTTGTCTTAAATACCTGTTTCTCCATTGAGCTTCGTTGACCGAACTGTGGTGACGACTAAAAGGTATTATGGCAAGGTGCTCCTGACCTGTCTACACCGGAGTATTGCGTTGCCAATATGGGCTAAACTAAGGAATGGTGGGAATGTAGCACTGGAACGAGCACTGGGCGCTTTCGACCTTTTCATACCAGAGAGCGGATATGGAAGCCTTGACGAAGTGCGTATGCTTGCTAAAAATGGGTAGTGATTGCTAATCAAGCTCTAGATAACTAACAAGCTGGATGAAATCGTTGGACGACTTTCCTCATCATACCCTAGTATAAATATGCTCACAACTCGCGATAAGGCGAGGACTATCGCAGTATATTTGAAGTCAAACAACCTGACTGGTATTCAACCAGATAAGGAGTATCATTGCCTAGAGCACAATTTCTTGGGTGTCGCACTGAATGACCCGAACCATAATTCGCTCCCCCTGGTGTCTGCGGCTATATATTGCTATGTTGCGCAGAGGCTTGGCCTAAATGCTCGACCTTGTGGGTTCCCTTTCCATGTCCATGTTATTGTCAAACCTCCACCAGGACTGGATGTAAATGGCAATGTGCTGGGGCCCGGAGTTTGTGGAGATCCTATTTATATGGACCCATTTCGCTCAGATAGAGAGACGCCAGTCACCAATCTGCAAAGCCAGCTGAACTATTTGGGGGCATCTACCGTCGAACAGTCGACCTTTCTAGGCGAATCTCGGACCTCGGAAATCGTTTTAAGGTGCAGCAAGAATATATTGAATTCGGTCCAGCGCATGCCTCAGTATCTAGATGTGCATTTAGAAGCAGTGGATACTGTTAGTGCGAAGTACGCTGCCCTTTGGTCAACAATGCTTCTTTCTGACCCCTCTCGGCCGGCCGAGTTTCGACATCATTTACCTTGGCTAATGGAGTTATTTGCCACGGAGTTTCCATCTGATATATACCTTGTCGAACAGTATGTAGTCCCGATATTTCGTGGGTTGCTCGAATATGAGCATATTCTAGAAAGTCTCCACATCATGCGGGCCGTGGACGAGATTCCAAAGCAGGTGAAACGACGTTTTCCTGGTCGATGCGATGTGAAGTACCGCATTGGTCAGGTTTTCCGACACCGCCGGTATAACTACATAGCTATCATAACCGGTTGGGACACTGAATGCGATGCAGGCGAGCAGTGGATGAGGAGGATGGGGATTGATCGTTTGCAGGGAGGAAGGCATCAAAGCTTCTACCACGTTCTGTATGTTCCTATGTGCAATTGGCAATGCACTGTCAGGCTGACCCATGCTCTAGCGTCGAGGATAGAAGTGTGCGGTATGTGGCGGAGGAGAACATTGAGCTTCTGGTTCCCGATATCTCTGAGCTCCCTACAAACCTTACTGCAGTCGCAGGGAGGCATTTCAGGCGATGGAACGAAGCGACTCGATCTTTTGTGAGCAACATCAAAGACGAGTATCCTGATGATTGATGGATATTGAGAACATGCGGTTGAAGGGCTGTGCTTTTATTCTCTGCCTGCTATTGCAGAACGGCCGCGAATGCCCGTCATCAACGCAGCGTCGACAGGCTATGTCATAATACAGATGCTTCGAATTCTTATGTATCGGTAATGGCGGTGAATCTATTAAATTTAGTTATACTATTTATAGTATCAAAAATGTGTAGGGCTTATATTTATTGTAGTAAGAGCACTCTGATATTCGGGTTACAGATATTATAGAAAATAAGGAGGAGGTTAATGGTTGTTATTTTCGCATGACAAGGGATCTGCTAGGATGTGTGGACTCATGTGTTGGGGCTATATTGGTTGTCAGCTTAGTTTTGGGAACTTCAACCTCGACTGAATGAAGAACACAAACTGCCGTTATAGAAGCCACAGATATGTGAATGCTGTAGATAACAGATCAAGTCTAGTAGAAGGAGTATCTTTCCTGCTCAGAATACACCATACATACTGCGATCCTACCCAGCCCCGCGTCCTATCTCGGTCTTCTCTAGGAGGGTAGTATAAAGAGCTAGGTCAGCTAGGCAAAGGCGATAAATTAAAATAGTTATCTGTACTCGTCTCCTCTCCCACCCCAATTCCTTTCTTTTCATATCACATTACTATCGGCCAGGCTTACGGGTTGCTAGCAAAGCTAGAGGGAGAGGAGAAAGACTGCCAGAATATAGTAAGATGGGGGATAAGTAGTATTACGTTTGAAGCACTGGGCCTTTCCAGTTTATTGCTTCTTCTACATGGAACCCAGCCACAAGGCGATAAAGGTCGTATAGCCAGGGTAACTTTCCACGTTGCATCATTTCTTGGGCGGCCCTTGCTTGATATATCCAATGCACTCGCCTGGGCCTGTGGGCCAGCATTGTGGAACACAGGGTCAAATCCAACGGGTCTTTTGTGATTTGCAAGAAGGGACATTTGCCAGGACAACGAGCTGAATACATCCGATGAACGAGATTTTACAAAGGATAATAGACTCTGTGGTCTGTTGCGATGGTGACCGCTATTCGTTGCGGCCTTGGTCACTAAGATCCTAAGATTTGATAGATTTGGATCATTAGTCGAAATTGTCACCGTATTTGTCGAAGATGTCTGCTTAGAAGAATGGGTGTGCGTCGAGATATTGGACGAATTGGTCGATCATTTCACACAGGAGTTGTGGGCTGGCGATCCCTGGCCTAAAACGAAGATGTTTGGAATTGGCTCTTCGTCGGGAGAAATGGAGGTTGCGTCCTCAAAGATAGTTGTTGGCGTTTCGGGATGCCGATGTGGTTCAGGGAACTCGCCTCTGAGGTTGTGCCAGGGTTGGCTGGTCTGCTGCTCAATCTGATTAAATATCGCTTGGCTCGGCCGCGGCGTCCCACGATCAGAATCGCGAATGCTCCGTTGCGTCCACCCCTCCCGAAATATATCGCAAAGTTCCCAGCAAGCCTGAACAGCAGAACCGAGTAACTCTTCGCTCAAACGAGATCCCCCTTTCTTACTCTGGCGTATGCTGAACAACATCTCCGCCAGTGACCAGCATGCGGTTAACAAAGAGTCCATTTCCGTCACCAGAGCTCTTTGTTTCATGAGACGATGACACAGTGTAATATAGAAATCTAATGTCCTCTCCCTAAAGGCGTCGGGCAAGTCTCGATCGTGCGTGTTATACAGGTGGTTGTTGAGTTCAAAGCTGACGCGAAGGACCGAATCCGTTAGTTCATTCTCATGAACTCGACTGTCAAACAGTGTTTGACAAAAGTTTCGGCAGAGATCAAGTGTAGGGCTGATTTGATATGTGTAGTTTTTGTTCTGGCAGGTGTAGAGTTCCTGGCATAACCGCCAACATGATTTCCAGGTCTCTTCTTGCATGTCAGCCCCGGAATTGGACCGCTGTCGGTGAATATAGCTCAAACTGGCCAAAGTATTGCAAAGGGACCAACATTCAGCCAAGGCAATCTTCAATGTCTTCAGTTCGGCTTCTCCGTCGGAGAAGTGCTCGATCGTCAAGTTGAATGTGCCTGTCTCACCCACTTGCCGGCCAGCCTTCTTGGGACCAGTCCCTTCTAGTATATCTACTATGCTTTCAGTGCTGACTCTAGCGATCGTTGCCCCATAGGTCGGGGTGGATGGCTACCTTACCCTCAAGATTGCCTGAATGCGATTTTTGGTCGATTTCATCGTCAAAGTCTCGCATTGTCTGCGCTCGAGGAGTCGCTCGCTCAGACCAGTCTTTCGTAGACTCAATTGCAGTAGTCAGCGGTGGCGGCGATAATGGATTGTTAAAAATCTTCTGACAGGTTTAGTTTACCCAAAGATGGCATTAGAAGGAATTGAGTACCTTTTCTGTTCCACCAAAAGCAGGGGGGGGGATATGCTGTCTTTCCCTCTCGGAATCCGCAAAAGCATCTGATCGAGATGTAGCTATGCAGCCTGATGACTGTTGCGAATATATAATCTACGTTCGGTACGATTTAGCAGAGCATGTTGCATGGGCGTTAAACGTATATGCAAGGAATACCCACAAAGTCATTGAAGCCAGGGGGTGCATGTATACTAGATTTTGGAGGCTCATCATCATCATCCTCTTCCAGTCTTTCTTCGACGTTACTGCGCCTGGAACTTGTTAATCGTATCTGTTATGGAGCTCATATTAATCTGCTATTCCGAACATACGTGCTGCTTTCGATTATTTTCGGTGGCTCCTCTATACATACTGCAAATTCTGGTCTACTCGTGTTGTCAGGCTGCGGTGAATAAGAAGTAACTGTAGACGTGACCGCTAGCCCAGTTTCATTATCATCCATATTTTGAGTATCAGCTCTTGCCCCATCGAGCATAGATGGCAAGGGAAGGAGATGGGGGTTGCTCGTTAGCCTGAATTTTGATATAGACAAATAGTTGTCGGTAGACCTGCCCTGGTCAATCACAGGCAAACAATATATCAGATCTCACTTACATTCTGATATAATACACGCAGGGATTCAAAAGCCAGTATATGGCAAACAAGCAAGTATCATATTCTAGCTAACCCCAGGGTGAGATGATTGATAAGTTTACACCTTCAACATACCGGCGGATGTCTCAAAATTAACTATAGACTAAATGGGGGTATGGTATTCCTATTCGCATGTTGGCATTCGCAGGGGAGGGGAAAGCCCCGCGTGCTCTTCCATGGCATCTAATTAGATCCTTGTCTGCTAGCTAGGACCTCCATCCTACCAGACCTTAGATAAAGCTTTCAGAAAACATGTATATTGTTAGCCATAAGTTGATGTATTTGTCTAAAAGTACAGGGTGACACCAAAACCAGTACATGATCTGTGAATATGGATAATGGATATTTGACGGAACAACAATGTACTCCACTCCGTAGTGTATGTAGACATACTTAGATAATTTCTTACAGATTGATATTCTGCCAGTACAGTTTTACTGCCTTGGTAACAGCTTTAAGGTTTTAGTTAATTATATTTTTTTTAATTTAATTAGGTTAATATATTGAGTAATGTGATTATAATATTATTACACCTGGGTATCTGATATTAAGTTCTGATAAATTAGACTGCGGCATATCCACTCTAATGGATATAAGATCCAATACTATAT